TATGTTAGTATATGTATCACACCTACACGTACTTTTTTTCTGGACCATTTGCATGTAAGTTGCACACACTATGACTCTGTCCCTAAATACTTCAGCATGTAACCCCTAGGAGTAAAGACATTTTCTTACACAATCACAGTATCATTATCACAAAAATGCAAAATCCCGTATCACCTAATGTAGAGTCCATATTCAAATTTCTTTATTGTCTTAAATGTGTATTCAACCTACCAAATGTAAAATGTCCATAACCTTTTACTCAGTGATTCCATCACCATCGTGCATAAATACTCCCACATGTACAAAATGGGGGTATACACAAGAATATTCACTGTAGCACTGCTTGTGAGATGGGAAACAATATTAAAATAGGATTGGATTAAACACACTGAAATCAAACTATGGAAGATCAAATAGGTGTTTGGAATCCAGGTGTTTAGAATTGAAGTGTTCTAATATGCACTAATAAAAATGAGTTAAATTTAACTGGAAAACATCTGAGTACTGCATGTGGCATATCAGCATTTGGATAAAACAAAAAATTACAGATATTTGCAGACTGATGATTAACTCTGAGGGACACAAGAGAGGCTGGTAAAAGTAACTGCCTCTGGAGGAGGGTGACAATTCAGGTGACTGGGTGGAGGGGAGGGCAGCTTCTCATCAAGTACTCTTACTCATTTTGACTTTTGTACAATGTCTATGTTACATAATAAAAAATAGTGCTAACATGGATGAATATTTAATCCTATGTAGTAGTGGTTCTCAACCAAGGGTGATTTTGTCCCCCACAGGACAGGTGGCAATGTCTAAACACGTTTGGTTGTTACAGCTAGAGTTGAGGGTAGTGCTAATGGCATCTAGTAGCTCACAGTACATAGATCAGCCCCACACAACAAAGAATGACCTGGCTCAAAATGTCAGTAGTACTGAGATTGAGAAACCCTGCTGTACAGCAATTCTGGATGATAAGGTTTGAGAAGAGCTAAGCAAGACTAAAGGGATAAACAGTCAGGTGCATATGCCTAAGCATTCAAATCACTGTGACTTTAAGGTAATTCATATTTCTAGCTGTGAATGAGGATGGTTAGATTAGTCCAGTATGCATAATTTATTCCACATTGGTACAGTTCAAGCTTCTGTAACCTTAGTTCATGTTAATTTCACTGTTTTAAATGTAGTATAGTCACTAGAAGAATGAGATCAGAAGAAGGTACATGATTTCTAGGGCTTCAGTGTGCAGGTATACTTGCACATGTATAGGAATATGCATTGCAATACTGTTGGTAATGGAAAATACTGGAAACCACCTAAATAATAGGGAACTGGTAAAGTAACTTATGGTATATCCATACAGTGGAATACTGTGCAGCCATTAAACAAGATAGCTTTAATGAGCTCTAAGATATATCAAGTTTATTTTTCAAAAATATTTATTTATTTATTAGAAAGAGATCGTGCAAGTAGGGAGAGGGGCAGAGGGAAAGAATCTCAAGCAAACTCCCCACTAAGCCTGGAGCCTGGCGTGGGGCTCCATCCCAGGACCCCGATATCATGACCTGAGCAGCAATCAAGAGCCAGCTGCTTAACTGACTGAGCCACCGAGGTGCCCCAAGGTATATCGCCTAAAAAGGAAGTTGGAGGGGTGCCTGGGTGGCTCAGTCGATTACTTCTAACTTGATTTTGGCTCAGGTCATGATCTCACGGTTGTGAGATTGAGCCCCGTATCTGGCTTCGTGCTCTCTCCCTCTCCTGCCCCACCCCTGCTCGTGTGCTCCCCCCCATAAATAAATCTTAAAAAAAATAAAAAGCAACTTAAGAGAACAATATATGTAGGTTACCATATGCAAAATAAGACATATACATATGTGCTCATTTATGCATATATCTCTGAATGTGTGATATACATTCAGATATATACTCAAAATTATCAGAAACAGGGTTGTTTCTGGAGGACTGGGGTGAGGTTTTTTCTTTATGCCCTTTTGCATTTTTGTACTATGTGCACACTACTTGTATATATAAGACAGCTCTACCCAATCAATGAGTAAATGCACAGTATAACTCCACTATAACACATAATACAAGGGAGAATGAAATATGTATTATAATAAAGATATAAAAGAATATGGAAACAAAAAGTGTAGATGTTGAAAACTTGAAAATGTTGAGAGAAAATGAGGAACTTCAAGCCATACTTCAAATGAGGCACCATTACTTTTAGTCATTATAACCAAATATCCTTTTCCTAATACCTGCTCCTCTATGGTTATAAAAACAAGAGGGCAGTTAGGGGATTTGTCTGGTACCTAGGGTGAATGTCATGCAAGAGAGGTATTTTCCAGATGCTGATGAAAAAAAGCCCCTCTTACCAACTGAGCCACCCAGGGGCCCAAAAAGCCCCTCTTACAAAGAGCTTTAGTGGGCTGACAAGCTTAAGACTTGGTTGGCTGGGCGCCTGGGTGGCTCAGTTGGTTAAGCGACTGCCTTCGGCTCAGGTCATGATCCTGGAGTCCCGGGATCGGGTCCCACATCGGGCTCCCTGCGCAGCGGGGAGTCTGCTTCTCCCTCTGACCCTCTCCCCTCTCATGCTCTCTATCTCATTCTCTCTCTCTCAAATAAATAAATAAATAAAATCTTTAAAAAAAAAAAAAAGACTTGGTTGGCCTACTTGATAGAAAATGAGATGAAGAAGAAGTCAGAAGCCTAGGGGATAGTCCTGACTTTGCAATAAATTTATAATGTGACCTTATGCAAGTGAACCTCTGGAACTATTGTCCATCTATAAAGTGAGAGTGTAGATCCCAAAAGATAAATTGAAAAAATCAAATGGATAATTCATATTAGGGAAAAATTTTCATTAAAAAATGGAAGAATATTCAGCTTTCCCATTAAGCAAAAGGAATATAATTTGAGATTTTATACTATTGAAACAAAATCAATATCCCATGCCACTGAAATTGTTAAAACTAGTACACACATTCATGTTAGTAATTTACAAGCTATTCTGTAAAATACGGCATGTTTGTATAACTGAGCCATAGAGATATTCCTGCATTTTGATTCAGTAACTTCATTTCTGAGGAATTTATCTTAAGGAAATGATTTAGCAGATACAAAAATATATATACACAAAGGCATTAATTCATTTGAATGTTTTAATAAAAAAACCTAAGTAAATAGTTTATTATGGGCATATCAATATGAAATATTGTTCCTGTTAGGACCATTTTAAGCACTGGAAACATTAAAAATACTATGTTTAATGTAAATACAGAGATAATATACAAATGTAAAATAATTTCACTCAGAAGGAAGAATTATGGGCGCGACTGGGTGGCTGAATCGGTTAAGCGTCCGACTCTTGATTTCAGGTCATGATCCCAGGATCCTGGGATTGAGTTCCACATCAGGCAGGGAGTCTGCTAGAGGATTCTCTCTTCCTCCGCCTCTCCCCAAGCTCATGTTCTCTCTAATAAATAAATAAACCTTAAAAAAAAAAAGGAAGAATTATGGGTACTTTATTATTTAATCAGTATTTTATACTGTTAAACAGACTTTTAAATTCTAATAAAAAGAATTTAAGATTGAGTTTAAGGAACTAAGTCTTTTGAGCTCTAAAGTCTATGATTCTAATCATTCTCTGATACAGTGTTGGGGGCTTTGCTGTCCACTTTCCTCTAGTAGGCAAGGATGGCAGTGGATGAGATAAATTTTCAGAATAGACAGGGTTGATACAGCAAGCTGGGGCCCTGGCAATCTGGAGACAACCAGGGACAGTGTTTTTTTTTTTTTTCTCTCACACTTTATGAATTTTGAAAATACTTCCAAAAATACTTTATTTTAGATATATACCACATCTACACTCACATTTTAATATAAAAGCATTTAGAATGAGAAGAAAAGATATGAAAAGGATAAACATGTATCTTGGAAGGGGGAGGAAACCTAGCGATAATTCTAGTACAACCTCAGTTTACAGATGAAAAAACTGATGCTCAGGAAGGAAACATGTTCTTACATATAGAGAAAATAAAATTTGGATGACAGGGGAAAAATTAAGGATGATGGGGGAGGGAAGGTCAATGAAAAAAGTAAAGGCCAAAAGTAAATACACATGTGTATGTGGATGATAAAATGGGTGAAGCCTACTACTGGAGGGTGGAAAAGTGATCCCCAGGACCTAGAAGGTGGCTGTATTGGGTTTATACATGGTCCTACTACACACCCATCCTGGTATTTAATTACACTACACAAGGTACAGATCTATCAGATTTTCAACCCTTCTAAATCCAAATGAAGGTACAGCCTCTCAAGTCCCAAAGACTAATGCTAAACCAGATTTTTATCCATAAATTTATCACAGAACATTGCTTTACAAAAAGTACAGAAATTGGTATTCCACTGGCTTTCTCTGGTTTCTACATCAAAAATATGTTGAAAGATAATTTGTTTAGATTGTACTGTTCTCCCCGCCCCCAACTTGGTTGGTAGCTCATCTCAAGGTATCGAATGTGAATTTCTAATAAAAATTTTTAAAATTAGCTAATTTAGATGGAAAGCAAATTGCTTTCATGTATTTTCAGAAAGGATTTTAACTGAACTAGTTCATTCTATGTGAACAAACTATGTACATATATACTTTCAGAAATCCAAGTTTCATCTATATATATAAGCTTTTGAGATGAGACTAAAACTTTTCCAACACCCTGGAAGGGGGGCTTGGCTTAGTGCCGTTGGTGTGCTGCTGGCCACAGCTATCTTGTATCCAGAGGGTACTAGTTACTTTGCTTCTCCTATGTTTGACAAGTTTTATTGATGGAAAGCTGATCTAAGGACAAGACTGCTTATCCAAGTTGGGATTTTGCCTTAAGCATTGAACAAATCAGATTTTAAAAGTAAAGTTCAACTTACATCCCATTTTTTATTTTATACAATACCTCACTCACTGGTACACATTATAAACATGAGGCTTTTACTTTTAATGATTCCATGATTCCATATCAAGCAATTTATTTATACTCTAATAAAAATAAAGTAAAACTATAGTAAGCAGTTTATCATTACTTTGGGCTTTTATCCTGTTGGACTTCGACATCTTCAGAACCTTGTAACAAATCACAACACATATAAACCTCATTTTACACAAGATATATTTCAATAATGGTGTATAAATTGATTTTTATAAACTGATTTATCATTTTACATTATTATTTATAAAACTTTTATGCTAACTTTTTTCAAAATTTTATTTATACATTTATGCTAACTTATAAATTATCCTCAATTAATATGTGATGTCAAACATTTTGGCTTTAGGCTATATCTAGTTTCCTTTCTCTCTTTTACCCACCCATCCTGCCCCCAACAAACAGTTAATAGAAGAGTTTATTTAAAACAAAACAAATCTATACTAGGAATATTTCGTATTTGGAGAAATCACACAGGAAAAACAAGATTACTAGGAAGACCTTAAAGAAATGCATTTTAAAGGTGCCTAAAATTAGCCTAAAAGCCATTTGTGACAACATGAATGGACCTAGAGGGTATTATGTGATGTGAAAACCTGAAGTTTTTTAACAAGACCAAAAAGTTTATTGTTAGTACTTAAGAATCATACCATCACACATTAGCATATCACAACTAAGCATTTATTATACTGTTAAGAAGGGAAGCAACTGCAGTGGTATTTCAGAAGCTATATATTTTTTTAAAATGTAATATATGCTCATAGACTCTAAACAGTATTTTAAAATATACAATCTCTCCAAAAGAAAATATTCAACTAAAGATAGATAACTTTTAATGTAAGTAAATGTTACAAGAGTTTAAAATTAAAGTCATCATCAGATTTTCCACAACACAATGTACAGAAATTTGCAAACTTCCTGTACAGAGCCAAATAATCTCTACTCTTGAGCGAGGCGTTCAATAACACGTCGGTAATCTTCCACAAGTTCCTGAAAGCTTTCTTCCAGCTGTTCATGTTGCATGCTTATTTCTATTTGGTTCATCTGGTTTGTCAGTTCTTCTGGTCTGAGACATTTTCTCATTTTAGCAAGATCTCTCTGCTTTTTCTAAGCAACAAACACAATTATTGGTTAGACTAAGAAAGAAGATAAATCTCTTTATATTCTTTGAATTTTAAGTCTCCACTGTTAAAAATAAGATTAGTAGGAATATGCCCAAATTTGTCCCACACAGTTTTTTCCTTAAGGAAGCCTAAACATAATGTTAACCATGAATTACAAAACCTCTAAGTGGAGTTAACTAGGAGACTCGGAATTTGTGTCAAATGATGGGTAAATATACATGTCACTAACAGCCCCTTCTCCAAAGCATAATAAAGAACTGGCCAGTGTAGACACTCAAAAATTTCTTTAGTAAATAAATATATTAACTGAAGAAAGACAACTGAGATTAAGTGCTATTATTCTTCATTTCACTATTCATTCATTAATTCATTGCTAATGTTTTAATTCCAAACTGCTTTTTCCTGACCTAAGTTCATCTCTGTTTCCTTACCCAGCATGTATTTATGGACCACATATTAATTTTAACATAAACTGAAAAGTTTCAGAAAGATAACCAAAAACTGTCCCACTTTAAAAAGATAATATTAACCAGCACTTACTGAATTTCTACTATCCAGAAATACATTATCTTATTAACCTGCCCAACCCTCCACCCACCACATTTTACTGAGAAGGAACCCACCATGCTGGGCCAGAAGGGAGCCAGTAACAACTTTCAGGTAGGACACTGTCAGAACAACACTGTTAGTAATGCTGAGGATGGGACTGGAGGACCACGTTAGGAGCCACTGCAAAAATTCAAGTGAGATGATGAAAGCCTAGACCAAGTCAGTAGGAGCGGAGATGGAGGGGAAAGGGCAGATTTAGGGAAGAAAATATTGGGTGATATGGGGAATGAAGAATGACTCCGAGATTCCTGGATAGGTGGCAACACTGCAATACAGTATGGAAACACTGTAATACAGGAAACTTTAATACATTTTGGGTAAATTGTTCTAGATTAATATATGAAAATTCTACTAGAACATATAATAAAGAGATAACTTTACATAAAGATCAGAAATCACATGTATTAACTCATGTAATCCTAACTATAAGATAGGTAGTCTAATTTTCTACAGTTGATAAAGAAAAAATAGGATATGGGAGTTGAATAACTTGACACAAAGGTAGTAAGATGAGAGGCCAGGATGCAAACCCCAACAATCTGGTTGGAAATCTGTATTATTTAGTTCCTGTATCTAACTGATTTTCAAAAGACTATTAAAAAAAAATCCCTAAATCCATCCTAAAAACTAATAAATGTCCCTTAAAGAGAACCCTAATAATTTTGGAATACTAGGAAAATGTGTCATGGTTACTACTTAAAATGCTCAAAATAAAGCTATATTAATAACCACATGTTTTTATTTATTTTATTTTAAAGTAAGCTCAATACCCAACGTGGGGCTTGAATTCATGACTCTGAGATCAAGAGTTTCATACTCCACCAACTGAGCCAGCCAGGTGCCCCTATAACCAATGACATGTTTTTAAAACAAGGTAACAACAATAATGTTTGGAGATAAGCCTTTCTGACACTACAAAAAAATTAGGTTGATCCTGGTCTAAATTGGTGGAACCAATAGTAAATAAGGTTGCTACTACTATAACCAGAAATAAAAAAAGTTAACTTCATTAATATAAAACACCCTTCTAAAGCAGAACTTCTCAAACTTCAATGTGCATGCAGATCACCTGAGGACCTTGGTAAAATGCAGATTCTGACTGAGTAGGTGTGGGGGACAAGATTCTGCATTTTTTTTTTTTTTTAAGATTTATTCATTTGCTAAAGAGAGAGAACAAGCAGGGGGAGAGGCAGGGAGAGGGAGAAGCAGGCTCCCCACCAAGCAGGAAGCCCGACTCTGGGTGGGGGTGCGGGTGCTCAATCCCAGGACCTGAGATCATGACCTAAGGCATACACTGAATCGACTGAGCCACCCAGGTGCCCCCAAGATTCTGCATTTCTAACAAGCTCCTAAGTGATGTTAATGTTACCGATCTACTGATCACACTATGACTATCAGTTCCAGAGAAGATGAAATTTCAAATTTATTGTTCCTAAGACCCACCAGGACAGTGTATTCCTTACTCTTCAATCATGTGAATGATAAATGCTTTGTTTCTGCTGTAAAAGTTATTTTTTCTACCAACAGGCATGACTGCACTATATAAGAGCATTTAACTTAAGAAAGCAGTTCAGGAACTAAAGGGTAATTCATGAGCAAATTACTGTGGTGTGTGATAGGAATAGAAGCTATTTTTCTAAATTGCTAACCAGTTATAATGTTTATTAAATAATCTAACCCCATTGCTTGAAGATACCTCCAATCATATTAAATTCTTATATATATAATAGAACCATCATATTAAATTCTTAAATACTTCTAGACTATCAAATTTTGTTGCAAATAACCTATACAATGAATCCTGTGCCAGTAACATACTGTTTTAAATTATTATGCTGTTCTTAAATTTGAGAGTTTACATCCTCAATTTATCACCCCCTGACCTTCAATTTCTTCACTGGATGTCAGAATTAATCACTACTGTAATTTCTATTGGTATGATGGAAAATTTATGAATTAGCAGTGCCCGGGTGGCTCAGTCTGTTAAGCATCTGACTTCGGCTCAGGTCATGATCTCAGGGTCCTGGAATGGAGTCCTGTGTCAGGCTCCCTGCTCAGTGGGGGGGTCTGCTTTTCCCTCTGCCTCTCCACCCCCCACCCCCATCCCCCCCACTTGTGTTCAGTGCTTCCACGCTCTCTCTCAAATAAATAAATAAAATCTTTTTAAAAATGGTAATAAAATAAAATACATAGGAATAAAAATATCTATAAATAGCTTTATGGAAAAAATATAAAACTATATATTTAAGCTCCTCCTGAACATGTAAGGTATAATTCAATTTTAAAAAACAATTTGAGGTTATTAGCTTTATTGGCCTTTAATATTCCTTTAATTGTATATATTCCATTGTCTATAAGTATATTACAAATTAATCTTTTTAAAGAATGTGTAAAAAAAACACTTAAAAAACCCCAAAGTGATTTGGGGAACACCCCTATCCAGCAAAGTGAAATACCCTGGGAGAACAAATGAAACAATGAAAGGTAGAACCCCTAAGATTGGAATAGATATTCTATAAGCTTTAGAATAATTTTCTTCCCACCAAAACCAAAAACTTAATTCCTTTATAGATTAGGGCAGTTCATAATTTTTAATTAATGAAGACAAATTAAAGATAGCATTATTTTAAACTTATTTATGTTAACATTTGGCTTGGATATGAATTTTTCCAGAAAATAATCCTTTCTTTTTGCCTAGCTTTTACATGTTCCCAGAGGGCTTACAAATATAATCTCAAAAATGCTACCACCTCTAAGGCCTCCTTAATTTCCTTTGGCTGAACTAGTCACTTTTGTGAAGTACAGAGATAAGGATATTTTGTAAGAATTTTAAAATAATAATGGTGTGGAAGCATATTAATTCCAAAGACTTGTCAAAAGACATCTTTTAAAACATGCACCACAGGGCGCCTGGGTGGCTCAGATGGTTAAGCGTCTGCCTTCGGCTCAGGTCATGATCCCAGGGTCCTGGGATCGAGTCCCGCATCGGGCTCCCTGCTCAGCGGGGAGCCTGCTTCTCCCTCTGCTTCTCTCTCTCTCTCCCCGTCTCTCATGAATAAATAAATAAAATCTTAAAACATGCACCACAGTATTTTATTTCTTTCTGTTCAATTCCTAACTATGGAGGCATTTCCATTTTATGGAAGGGAAGCCTAATACCCAAGTATTAATAAGTTGTCAATAGTTACACAATTTCTAAAAGAACCAGATCTCAAAAACTGAGTTTCCAGATTCCAAATGCAATGATATTAACAATGATTCTAAATTTTATATTTGTACACCAACTAAGAATTAAAATAGTCCCATGAAACAATATAAAAGCTTTATAATGCTAAAACGAAACAGCTACACAAATTTTTCTTTTTTTAGCCAAATGGTTCAAATTTGTCATTTTTTGAACACCTGAAAATCACTTCTGTACTAGAGATGGAGTTACTTTTTGTGCTTTAAAAAAATGATTCTAGTTGATATAGGTTATTCCCCCCGCCTCTGGCACTGATACAAATGAATTACCAGTGTTTAAAGACTTTTAATGCAAGGTACAAGTACTTCTAATAGCTACCCAAATAATTTCTTAGTGGGAGAGTGTGTTTAGACTGACAGGTAACCTTGATTCCTCAAATAGAGGCAGCACAGAATTTGCTATCAATAAATAAATAATTTCATACCTCAGTAATAACAGTGACAATCAAAATTATAATTTTTCATAAAATGTGAAAGTAAACATGTAAATTTTACACTCCAAACTTTCCCTATTAGGCATAATTTTAAAGACCTAAAAGAGTTCTAAATCACACTCATTATTAAGCAATTTCACTTTATTCTTAAATACAATTTTACATCTGAGAATACTGTAATAACACAACAAAGTATATAATACCATACTGGAACAACAAATTGAAGAAAATCATCTGCATCCATTCAACAAGGAAATCACAGCACTCCTCCCATGCCTATTGGACATTTAACTCATTTCTAGACTTTCTTAAAGTTTGTGGTAGATTTCCTACCCCAAGCATTGGGACTATCAACCTAAAGTAGGGGAGGGGGACCCTCAAGTTTTCTTGTTTTTCTCAATGGGATAGAATACTGGATAACTGAACTTATTAAAATGTACATTACTATAAATACAGTTCAAGCAAGCCTCTGAAGAAGTGATCTGTGTATAAGCTTTAGTGCAAGGATGGTGATACTCAGCTGTGTTAAGAACCTGGAGAGTTTAGGGGCGCATGGGTGGCTCAGCTGGTTGGGCGACTGTCTTTGGCTCAGGTCATGATCCTGGAGTCCTGGGATCGAGTCCCACATTGGGCTCCCTGCTCGGCGGGGAGTCTGCTTCTCCCTCTGACCCTCTTCCCTCTCGTGCTCTCTCTCTCTCATTCTTTCTCTCTCAAATAAAGAAATAAAATCTTAAAAAAAAAAAAAAAAGAACCTGAAGAGTTTAATAACCAGTTTTCAGTTGTCTTTCAGATAGGTCAACTTGTTTGCAGGTGAGGATACTTAATATAAAAAATCAAATCATTACTATTCTTTAAGAGTAAAAAATACTTGCTTTTATGAACTACAGAAATTCCTATTTGGCATGAGTTTGTGACCACTTAGAATTCATCATCTCTCATGTGCTACATCTATCTATATAAAACATCAAATAATTATCTGAGATGCATAATTCAATAAATTATTTTACTTTACTGAAACAGTTTAGTAAAAGCATACCTCAGTTTACTGTGCTTTGCAGATATTGTTTTTTTACAAATCAAAGGTCTGTGGCAAACCTGCATCAAGCAAGTCTACTGGCACCATTTTTCCCAGCAGTATTTGTTCACTTCATGTCTCTGTGTCTCATTTTGGTAATTCTTGCAAGATTTCAAACTTTTTCATTACTATTATATTTGTGGTGGTGATCTATGATTAGTGTTCTTTGATGTTACTATTGTAATTATTTTGGGGCACCACAAACTGAGCCACAGATGATGAACTTAATGTTGTGTGTATTCTGACTGTACCACCGACCAGGTGTTCCCCGCCCCTCCTCAGGTCTCCCTATTCCCTGAGACACAACAATATTGAAATTGACCCTACAATGGCCTCTAAGTGTTCAAGTGAAAGGAAGAAATTGCACATCTCACACTTTAAATCAAAGCCAGAAGTGATTAAGCTTAGTGAGAAGGCATATTGAAAGCTGAGATAAGCCAAAAAGTAGGTCTCTTGTGCCAAACAGGCAAAGTTGCGAATGCAAAGTTCTTCAAGGAAATTGAAAGTACTACTCCAGTGAACGCACAAATGATAAGAAAACAAAACAAACTTACTGCTGATATGGAGAAGGTTTTAGTGGTCTGGATAGAAGATCAAACCAGCCACAACATTCCCTTAAGCCAAAACCTAATCCAGAGCAAGGCCCTAACTTTCTTCAATTCTCTGAAGGCTGAGAGAGATGAGGAGGCTGCAGAAGAAAAGTCTGAAACTAGCAAAGGTTGGTTCATGAGGTTTAAGGAAAGAAGTCATTTCCATAACATAAAAGTGCAAGGGGAAGCAGCAAGTGTTGACGGAGAAACTGCAGCAAGTTATCCAGAAGCTCTAGCTAAGATAATTAATGAGAGTGGCTACACTAAACAAAAGATTTTCAGTGTAGACAAAACAGCCGCCTTCTTCTTTTAAGTTTATTTAAGTAATCTCTATTCCCAACGTGGGGCTCAAACCCACGACCCTGAGATTAAGAGTCACATGCTTTATTTTTTTTAAGATTTTATTTGAGAGAGAGAAAGAGAGAAAATGGTGGGGAGGGGCAGAGAGAGAGAGAGAGAGAGAGAGAGAGAGAGAGAAGCAGACTCCCTGCTGAGCAGGAAGCCCAACATGGGGCCCGATCCCAGGACCCAGAGATCATGACCTGAGCTGAAGGCAGACACTTAACTGACTGAGCGACCCAGGTGCCCCGAGTCACATGCTCTTCTGAGCCAGCCAGGCACCCCAAAACAGCCTTCTAGTGCAGAAGATGCCATCTAGGGCTTTCATGGCTAGAGAGGAGATGCTTGGCTTCAAAGCTTCAAAGGATACGTTGAGTCCCTTGTTTAGGGTTTAATCACAGGTCCCTAATGCAGCTGGCGACTAAATTGAAGCCAATGCTCAATGACCATTCCCAATATCCTAGGGCGCTCAAAAACTATGCTAGTTTTACTCTGCCTGTATTCTAAGGGAAGAACAAAGCCTAGATGACAGCACATCTGTTTGCAACACAGTTTACAGAATATTTTAAGCTCACTGTTGAGACCTACTGCTCAGAAAAAAGGATTCCTTTTAAAAAGATCACTGCTCACTGGCACTGTACCTAGTTACCCAAGAGATGATGGAGATGTACAACGAAACTGATGTTGTCTTCATGTCTGCTAACACAATATCCACTCTATAGCCCATGAATTGAGGAGCAATTTCGATTTTCAAGTCTTACTATTTAAGAAGTACATTTCCTAAGGCTATAGTTGCTGTAGATAGTGATTCCTCTGATAGACCTAGGCAGAGTAAACTGAAAACCTCTGGAAAGGATTCAGCATTCTAGATGCCAGTAAGAACACCCATGATTCATGGGAAGAGGCAAAATATCAACCTTAATGAAGGGAATGTGGAAGAAGTTTATTCCAGCCCTCATGGATGACTCTGAGGGGTTCAAGACTTCAGTGAAGGAAGTAACCACAGATGTAGTGGAATTGCAAGAGAACCAGAATGCGAAGTAGAGCCTGAAGGTGTGACTGAATTGTTGCAATCTCATGATAAAACTTGAACAGATGAGGAGTTGCTTCTTGTGGATAGGCAAAGAAAGTGATTTCTTGAGATGTAAACTATTCCTGATGAAGATGCTGTGAAGGAGTTAGAATATTACATAAACTTAGTTGATAAAGCAGCAGCAGGGTTTGTGAGTACTGACTCCCAATTTTGAAAAAAGTTCTATTGTAGATAAAATGCTATCAAACAGCATCACATGCTATAGAGAAAGGAAGAATCAACTGATGTGACAAACTTCACTTTGTCTTATTTTAAGAAACTGTTATAGCGAACCTCAACCTTCAGCAACCACCACCCTGATCACAGTCAGCAGCCATTAACATCAAGGTGAGACACTCTACCAGCAAAAACATTATGACTCACTCAAAGCTCAGATAATGGTTACCATTTTTTAGCAATAAAAGTATTTTTAAACTAAGGTACGTCTGTTTTTAAACATAATGCTATTGTACGCTAAGCAAAATACAGTACAGTGTAAACGTAACTTTTATATGCACTGGAAAACCAAAAAATTCATTTGACTTGCTTTACTGCTGCAATATTCACTTTACTGCAGGGGTCTCAAACTGAACCTGCAGTATCTCCAAGGTGTGCCTGTATTCTGAAATGCTGCCATAACATCGCATTACACTGTTCTATATGCCCAAATTTCAACATAAAGACATTTTCTAGATGACAAATTAATATTACGTCAAAACTCAAAACTTTTGGAAAGAACCATTTTTACCAATTTTCTGATGTTTCTGAAATGATTAATATCAAAGAATAAAATGCTACTTTGAACAATTTGGGGGAAGAGAGACCATTACAATGTATTACAACCTGTTTTAGGTAGTCCATAAGACAGAAAATTTTTGGATTTGTCATTTATGTTCCCAGCTATTGCACTGTATAAGCCTACAGGTATAGTGTATATAAATGTAGCAACCACATGTCAGGTGTTCATTAATTATTTATTGAACAAATTAACAAATATTCTCACCAATCAGCTTACTGCGCAGCCGCAGCTATCATAGCAAATCCTCATTCACACAGGCTGTCATGGGCAATATCTACCTCAATAATAGCCAAATGATGATGAGGAAAAACCTGAGCTCCTAAGGAGGGCAAGTTTCTGAGAGGAAAATATGGGAGATCAGAAAATGGGTAGGGGGTAGAGGGCAAGAAGAAAGACTGTTAAAAAAAAAAAGTAAATAGTATTATGCTGCAGTTTCAGCTATGGTAAAGTACAGAGGTTAAAAATGGCAATGAAGGCCATATTTAGGAAGAAGGGAGCAATTGCAAAGACAATATATATAACAACTAGGAAACTAGAGACTTAGAACAAGTTTAGTTTAGGACAAACTAGAGACTATTAACCAGATAATTTATTCAGGAAAAGTCTGAGCATTCAGATTTTTAAAAGATGGCAAACATATGAAGTAAAAAGTAACCATGGGTAGACTATCTTTGGGATTAGTTTTTAAGTGAATGAAAACAGATTTATAGCTTGCACTGGAAAATTATGACAGTAAAACTTCTTATAACTAAGGGAAGAATATTTTCACTTTTGTAAAAGTTAATTTAGGAAAATGATTTAGACTGTCCCATACACCAGCAATTGCTACACTTTCTTCTCACCTTTTTTTTAAAGTAAACTCTACCCCCAATATGGAGCTTGAATTCTCGACCCCAAGATCAAGTCACATGCTCTACAGACTGAGCCAGCCAGGTGCCCCTCTTCTCCATTTTTAAACAGTGACAAGAATATAATGTTTAAGACTCTGGAAAGTCCTACCTTATACGGACTAATCAGTCTTCTTTTAATGTCCAGTCTATAGCTTCTGTATTGTTCAGCATTACTCATGTCAGTTACCAGCAGTCGAAGAATTTCATAAACCCGCCTAGCATGTTGCTTAATGAAACAAAAGAAAAACATGAACACTTTTAATTACAAAATAGTGACACTTTCCCAAAAGAACACAGGATATACTGAGTATCTGCTATGGGCCAGAAATTGTGCTAGGTACCAGATGAAACACAATAAAAGATAGTCTCTGCCCTTGAGGAACTAGCAGCCCAATAGGTAACACAAATGACTGAGGTATGGTTAATTTAATGATGGAAATATGCGTAGGGTATTATGGTAGCATAGCCTGGGAATGGTGTAAATGTTAGAAGAGGATTCCTGGGGAAAGAAAACCTGAGCTAAATCTTTTTTTTTTTAATAGATTTTATTTATTTATTTGAGAGAGAGAGAATGAGAGATAGAGAGCACGAGAGGGAAGAGGGTCAGAGGGAGAAGCAGACTCCCTGCTGAGCAGGGAGCCCGATGTGGGACTCGATCCTGGGACTCCAGGATCATGACCTGAGCCGAAGGCAGTCGCTTAACCAACTGAGCCACCCAGGCGCCCAACCTGAGCTAAATCTTAAAGGGAAGAGACCACGCCAGTCTAGAAAGAGGAGAGGGCACTATGAGTGTACAAGGGCACACAGCACACATGTGCAAGACTGAGGCGGCTTGACACGGCTGGGGCACAAAATGAAAAGTAGTGAGAAGGGACGTGAGGACAGAGCAGAAGCACAGAGCCTCACATACTATATTAAAGAGTTGGGCTTTTATCTAGTAGGTGATGGATTTTATTTTTATTTTATTATTTTTAAAAGATTTCATTTATTTTAGAGAGAGAGTGTGTGAGCAGGGGGAGGAGGAGAGGGAGAGCATCTCCAGCAGATTCCACACTGAGCACAGAGCCCAATGTGGGACTCGATCCCAGGGCCCCAAGATCATGACCTGAGCTGAAACCAAGAGTCATACGCCTAACTGACTGAGCCACCCAGGTGCCCCCAGGTGATGGATTTTAAATGGGGGCGTGAGCAAAGTGCACAAATATGAGTTTTAAGAAAAACATTTTGGGGCGCCTGGGTGGCTCAGTCATTAAGTGCCTGCCTTCAGCTCAGGTCATGATTCCAGGGTCCTGGGATCGAGCCCTGCACTGGGCTCCCTGCTCCGCAGGAAGCCTGCTTCTCCCTCTCCCGCTCCCCCTGCTTGTGTTCCCTCTCTCACTGTGTCTCTGTCAAATAAATAAAATCTTTAAAAAAAAAAAAAATTCTCTCAGCTACATAGAAATGGTAGCAAAAAGGAGGGCAGGGAGACCAATTAAGAGGCTGTGCTATTAAATCAGGCAAAAAATGATGAAGGCATTTGAACTAAGACAGAATCAGTAAGAATACTAAAGGAACAAGGATTCTAATACAGAGAAGAGGAAAGATTGGGTGTGGAGGAGGGTGTGGAATGACTGAGTTTTCACAGCCTAGGAGAGATTTAGAAGGCACCAGAACATATAAATCTGAAGAAAACTCTAGTCTAAGAATGAGGATTTAAGCAGTATTAGTTTACAGGCAAGAGTTAAAACCATAGTATTGGTTAGGAAAGCATAAACAGTGAAAAAATGAGGGAGAGGTCAGAACCCTGTAGTACAGTGACAGTTACAGGGCAGAGAAAAACAAAGAAATATTAGAAAAATCAAGAAATCTTGGAATCACTGAAGCCAAAAGAGTAGCCCATAGTTTTTTTGTTTGTGTTATTTCACTTACATATTCATTGGGGATGAGGGAGAGATTAGGTATAGGTAGATTGGGAAGATGATGTTTGAACTTTCTGGAAGGGACACCTGAACAAATGAATATCTGGCAAGGCAAAGATGGAGGAACAGGAGAAGGGGGTATCAAGGGCAAAGGGCATAGTTAACGTAAAGCGATATAAAAGGAAGAAAGATGTAGCATGGTTGGGAAATAACAAGAGGTTTAGTAATGCCAGAGCATGTAGGAAGGTAGCAGAAAGTTGAGTCTACCAAGATTGGTGGGGTCCAAATTATGATGGGCTCACTGTGCCATACCAAATTTTAATTCCTTTCAGAAAAAGAAAAACATGATTTTGAAAAATGTGTTCATATTCTCTTTCTTTTAAAAGCTGCGCTGTTGAATAAATTCTCTAAGGTTTAATGTAGTCTGGATATACCAAATATTTCTAAAACATATATTTATCTTAAAACCAGGAAGCTATTAAAGTGTTTTAATGTAGGAGAAGATGGTAAGTTTCAGTTCAAATTAAGCTGTTGAAGGTCAGTGACCAGGAAACATTTTTTACTTTTTTTTTTTTAAGATTTATTTATTTATTTTGGTGGCGGGGGAGAGAGAGAATTCTAAGCAGACTCCCTGCTGAGCAGGGAGCCAGATGCAGGGGCTCAACCCCACAACCCAAGATCATGACCTGAGCTGAAATGAAGAGTACTGACCACAGTACTAAGTGAAAAAAATCAGGAACTATAATACCTTAGAAGCAAGGTAGGAGAGGGTAACAGTATCATATACTAGTCCTTATTATTGGGATACACTTCACATCTCTTTCTTTTTTGAAAGATTTATTTATTTTGAAAGACAGCGTGCATGTGAGTGGGGGCCCAGGGTAAAGGGAAAGAAATCCAAACAGACTCTATCCTGAGCCCAACACAGGGCTCAATCCCAGGACCCCAAGATCATTACCTGAGTTGAAATAAAGTCTGATACCAACCAACTAAGCCACCCAGACGCCCCTCAGATACTTTCATAATCCAAATCCTACCCATTCTTCAAGGCTTAGATCAAATGCATCTCCATCCCATGAAAAACTCTTGATTCCCTTCCATACACAAATATAATAAACTAAACTCCCTCCTCTGAACTGCCAGATTATTTTTTCGTACCTATTTTAGAATATTTACTACTTTAAAATTCAAATATATAGAAGTATATATACTTCTCCACATGTATTAACTATTTTGCCATATCAAACATTTTTTTAAAAAGTAAAAATAAGGTCATACTATCCATTTTGTTCTGCTTGTTACACTTTAACATAGCCATAATATCAACTATCTTCCCCTTCTATTAATGAGGTTAAAATTAAATTGCCCTAACTCACAGACTAAGTGGTGTAGCCAGATCTTAACCCAGACAATTTGGATTCAGAGCCTATACTCTCAACCATTGCTACCTCCCACACATGTATTCTTAATGTACTTGCAATGTTTAAGTTACATACTTAAAAAAAAAAAAAAGAAAACTTCAAAACTGAAATTTTTTTCTACAAAATAAAAATACCTTATTTATTTTGAACTTCTGTTGTGCCTCTATCGCCATATCTTCACTGAATCCTTGCATCAACTTTTCCCGGGAAAAACAGGGCAAATCTTGACAAAGCTTCACAAGCACAAAGTCTCTTAATTTCACATAGCTTTTGGATGGATCTTCCGCTAAAGAAAAGGCAGAATAACATTTCCCTTATCCAACATAATTCATCATTTGCAATCTCAATATACATGCTAGGCTAGAAATACAAATATTCTTAAAAGAACCATACAAGGCAAAGGTTACAATGAGAAAGGATTATTCCTTATTAATCAAACAACAGCACCATTATCTTTGCCAAATAAAATTATAGGTGCAATCCTTTTGCAAAGACATATAGTATCTGTGAAATTAGAGCTACTCCTTTCAAATGTAAACTTTTTGATGGGTGTTATCTATCATATGCATCTTAGTTTTATTTTCAATTAAAGTAGCTATATAAACAAGCGATTCAAGTTTGGATAATCAATTCCTATTCTCTGATAGCTAAGGCTTCTGAAGCTCAATTTATAACTCCCTTACTTTATTTTTTTTAAAAGATTTTATTTATTTATTTGACAGAGAGACACAGTGAGAACAGGAACACAAGCAGGGGGAGCAGGAGAGGGAGAAGCAGGCTTCCCGCCGAGCAGGGAGCCCAATGCGGGGCTCGATCCCAGGACCCTGGGATCATGACCTGAGCCGAAGGCTGACGCTCAACGACTGAGCCACCCAGGCGCCCCTATAACTCCCATACTTTAATCCAATAACCAATAATAAAAAAAAACCCTCTTTGTTTTCACAAGCAAATCTTTTTTTTATAAGAATAAAATGACAATATGATTTTGATCCTTTCTTCAATGCATCTGAAGAGCATAGATCTTCCTTTATGTTTGTCTCTTATGTACATTAGACTATGTAGTAGATAAGGAAAACATCAAAACATGATGGGTAGAAAGACGACTACACAGAGAAAATCAGTTTGAGTCCCAGTTCTGTCATTCATAGATGTAGGACCATGGGCAAGTCACCTTACTTTTCTGAGCTCTTGCTTTCTCATAAGCAGACGGCTTGAAACAAAGAATGCTAAATGCTGAGCTAGTTCATGGATCATGAGACTTAATATTGTTATAATACCAATACTCTACAAATCATTCCATGCAATCTCTATAAAAATCCCAGTTGGCATTTTTTTGTTGCAGAAATTAAGTTTATCCTAAAATTCACACAGATATGGAAGGAACCCAGAATAGCCAAAACAATCTTGAAAAAGAACAAAAGAAGACTCGCATTTCCTGATTTCAAAAATTACTACAAAGCTACAGTAATCAAGACAGTATGGTGCTGGCATAAAAACAGATATGTAGATCTATGGAAATGGATTGAGAGTTAAAAATAAACCCCTACATTTATGGTCAATTATTTTTTGAGAAAGGTGCCAAGATAAATCAATGAGGGAAAGAATTGTCTTTTAATAAATGGTAGTTGGACAACTGGATCGCCACAAGCAAAAGATGAAGTTGGACCCCTTTCCTCACACTATATACAAAAATTAATGCAAAATGAATCATAGACCTAAATGTAAGGGATAAGACTATAAAATTCTTAGAAGAAAACATAGGAGTAAATCTTCATGACCTTTGGTTAGGCAATGGCTTCTCAAATAGAGCCAAAAGCACAAGTAACAAAAGAAAAAAATAGATAAATTGGACTATATCAAAATTTAAAACTTTTCTGCTCAAATGATACCATTAAGAAAATGAAAAGACAACTTACAGAATGGAGCAAATATTTGCAAGTCATATATATGACAAGGGACTTGTATCCAGACTTTATATGTAAAAGTTTTACAATTCAATAAGAAAAAGAGAACCCAATTAAAAAAACAAAGGATCTAAACAGACATTTCTCAAAAAGATATACAAAGGGACAATAAGCACATGAAAAGATGCTCAACATCATTAGCCACAAAAGAAAAAAATGCAAATCAAAACCACAATGAAATAAAATTCCATCCACTAGAACGACTAGAATAAAAAAGTAACAAATATTGATGAGAGTGTAGAGAAACTGAAACCTTTATACTACTGGTGGAAATGTTAAATTGGTACAGCCACTTTGGAAAATAGCCTGGTGGCACCTCAAAAGGTGAAACATAGTTATCAGATTTTCCACCATTTCTACTCCTAGGTATGTACCCAAGAGATATGAAACATAGGTCTACACCTGTACACAAATATTCACAGTAGCACTATTCCTAAGAGCCAAAAAGTAGAAAAAAAAATGTCCCTCAATTGATAAATGGATACATAAAATTTGGTATATCTACACAATGGGAATATTCATTGTCAATAAAAAGAAACAAAGTACTAATACATGCTATAATAAGGATGAACCTTGAAAACATGCCAAGTGAAAGAAGTATCATATATTATATGAACTTCAATGTCCAGAATAGGCAAATCTATAGAGACTAAAAGTAGATTAGTGGTTGCCTAGAGTTGGAGGGGTATAGGTGGTGGGGGGTGGAAGAGAAAAGGAGTGACTGCTAATGAGTACTGGGTTCTATTTTGGGAGAAAGGAATATTCCAAAATTAGATTATGATAATGGCTACACTGTAAATATTTCAAAAATTGTACAATTTAAGTAAGTGAATTGTATGATATGTTAATATCTCAATAAAGCTATTTATTAAAAAAAGTCTGAGCAAGGGGTAATGTTTTATGATTCTGAGTCATTATCCAATCCTCCATTCATTTGATCTGTATGCACCGAATATTATTTTTTTTTTATTTTGTTATTTGACAGAGAGAGAGAGAGAGCACAAACAGGGGGAGCGGCAGGCAGAGGGAGAGGGAGAAGCAGGCCCCCCGAGGAGCAGGGAGCCTGATGCGGGGCCTGCTCTCAGGACTCTGGGATCATGCCCTGAGCCAAAGGCAGACAATTAACCAACTAAGCCACCCAGGTGCCCCGTACTGAGTACCTTCTTAATGCCTTCTTCTGGTATTAACCATATACATGTAATTATTAAGTAAATATTATATGACTATTGCTTTAAAGTGAAATCCTGTCACTGTATCAGTTTGGTATGAAATTATGGTTTATTAGGAATGTACACAGATGATGAACAAAGTAACAAAATAACTTAAGTACAGACCCTGTCAAAAGCCAGAGACAAACAGGAAAACCTGAAAGCAGCAAGAGGAAAACCACTCATCAGAAACCACAGATGGTCAGAAGTCAGCGGGGTAATGTATTTAAAATACTGAAAGAAAAATAACCGTCAAACAAGAATTCTATATCCAGCAAAATTATCCTTCAAAATGAAGGTAAAATAGGGTGCCTGGGTGGCTCAGTTGGTTAAGCGACTGCCTTAGGCTCAGGTCATGACCCTGGAGTCCCAGGATCGAGTCCCACATCAGGCTCCCTGCTCAGCAGGGAGTCTGCTTCTCCCTCTCACCCTCCTCCCCCTCATGTTGCCTCTCATTCTCTCTCTCAAATAAATAAATAAAATCTTTAAAAAATAAAAATGAAGGTAAAACAAAGATATTCTCAGAAAAGCAAAGATCAAAGCAATGTGTCACTAGCAGACCTGCCCAAGAAATACGAAAGAAGTTCTTCAGGTTAAAAGAACACGATACCTCAAATCTATATGAAGAAATTAAGAACACTGATAATTAATTATGAAAATAAAAGTAAATGTTGGTATAAATATATTTTTCTCTTCTCTCAACTTCTTTAAAAGACAATTCCATTAAAAATAATTATAAAACCAATGTTTGGTACCTAACATATAAAAATGTAATACATACGACAACAGTAGAACAATGAGGGGAGGAAGAATAATCACAGTGAAAGAATTTCTTTATTTTACTGGAATTGAATATTAATCTGAGGCAAACTGTGATACATTAAGATGCATATTGTAATCCCCAGAGCAACCACTAAGAGAGTACCTATAAAAAAAAGTGAAAAACAAAAACAAAACAAAGGAATTAAAATTGTTCATTTAAAATATATGTATTTAGGGCGCCTGGGTGGCTCAGATGGTTAAGCATATGCCTTCAGCTCAGGTCATGATCCCAGGGTCCTGGGATCGAGTCCCGCATCGGGCTCCCTGGTCCTTGGGAGCCTGCTTCTCCCTCTGCCTCTCTCTCTCTCATGAATAAATAGATAAAATCTTTAAAAATAAATAAATAAATAAATAAATAAAATATATCTATTTATAGGGTGCCTGGGTGGCTCAGTCGGTTAAGCATCTGACTCTTGATCTCAGCTCACGTCTTGATCTCAGGGTGGTGAGTTCAAGAACTTTCACTGGGCTCCATGCTGGGCGTGGAGCCTATTTAAAAAAATAAAATAAAATAAATCTATTAAACACAAAAGAAGGCATCAAAGGAGAAACAAAAGTAGAACAATGAAAAGCAACATAGAGAAAACAAACAGCATGATGGGAGGCATAATTCCAACCATAGTGATAATTACATTAAATCTAAATATACTAAAGACTCCAATCAAAAAGCAGAGATTGTCAGTGGATAAAAAAAGATCCAACTATATGCTGTCTACAACAGAAACATTTTAGATTCAAAGGCTGACAGTCAAAGGATGAGTTTAAGCATTAGCACAATAAAAAACGGAAAAAATACAGTTCAAAAATGAAAGAAATTACAAGAGGAAAAAAAGGCACATTTTATAATGACAAGTTAATTCATGAAGAAGATGTTAAAGTTATAAAAAGACACACACAACTAACAACAGAAGCCCAAAGTAAACGAATTAAAAGCTCACAGAATGAGGGGAAGAAATAGACAATTCAACCAAAATAGCTGGAAAAGTCAATACTGCTCAATGATGGCTAGAACCACCACACAGAAAAATGAGCAAATCTAGAGAAGACTTGAACAGTTCTATCAACTAACTTGACTAGCTCGTAGTTAGGTAACAATTCACCCAACAACAGCAGAATACACATTCTTTTCAAGCACACATGGAACATTCTCCAGCACAGATCATAGGTTGGGCAAAAAATTAGTAAACAATGGCCCATTGGCCAAGTCTCACCTATGGCAACCACAGAACATACATGGCTTTGCAAAGCATAAGATATTACTTAGGCCTTTAAATAAAAAGTTTATGGACCTC